CGTCGCCATTGGTTTGCGGTAAAAACCATGATTTTTCACTCGTCGTTACAGAAAGTTGGCAGAAATTTGTCTTCAGAGGTTTCAGAAAAAAGCAATTATACCATTGGAAAGAGCTTATTGTGGGCTAAATGTAGAGTGAAAAACATTTTTTAATCTGACGAGATTTAATAGCCCAATTAATACGCGAATATGATACACATTTTTGCATTTTCAGTGAATTTCACTGAAAAAATGTCAACACGTTTGTATCCGTAGCTGGGTGGTATTTAATCGGGTCGAAATGATTAATCCACATGCGCAATACCCTTGTAATAAGCTTTCATTAACTATAAAAATTATCATCCAATGACGAATATTGACCGAGATATGACCGTGAACAAATATCATACGCGTATCAAATCTAATCTTGATATAAAAATCGAGAAGTACGACGTCATTGGTTTGCGGGAAAAACCATGAATTTTCACTCGTCGTTACGGAAAGTTGGCAGAAATTTGTCTTCAGGGGTTTCAGAAAAAATCAATTTTACCATTAGAAAGAGCTCAATGTGGGCTAAATGATGAGTGAAAAACATTTTTTGCCCAGACTTGCTTAAATAGCCTAATTAACGCGCGAAAATGATACACATTTCTGCATTTTTAATGAAAAATATGTCAACACGTTAGCACCCGTATCTTGGTGGTATTTTATCGGATCGAAATAATTAATTCACGTACATAATGCCCTTGTAATAAGCTTTCATTAATTATCAAATTTATAATATAATGATAAATATTGACTGAGATATGATCGATTAGAAATGCATGTATACACCATGACGTTCAAATGCGTGACATTTAAATGGACTGATCACCGTAGATTACTACGCGATTTTGCCGAAAGAACAATGGAAATGACGTCTTGGATCTCCTGCTGATATATAATTCCTAGAATATCTAACCAATCATCTTGTTATTTGCAGGTAGTTATCTACTCACCATGTTCTTCCACTATGACAAAGTTCATAAATGCGGGGCAAATGGTTGCTATGGTAACAGAAATCATTTGTTAAAAAGTACACATTAGGACGTACTATGAAAGCCATTTATGATTCCTTAAATATCAAAACAATCATTACGATATTTACAGACAATCTACTACTTATCATGTCCTACCATGATGACAAGTTTCATCAATGTGGGTCAAATGTGGGTATAAATCTATTTGTTAAAAAAGTACACATTTCGTAAAATTTTAAGACACACCCTAAGACATTGAAAATCTTCATCAAATTAGGAGGAATTAGCATGAAAACATTTTTAAAAACCTATTTTGAGTATGTCTGATAATATTTAATCAATGGATATTCCATCTGGGCCATTTGATATATTGTATTTGCTTATGATAATAAAACTATGCAGAATGCGGCTGTCACATTATGCGTAGGGACATAGTAAATTATGAGCTGATCTCACTTAGTCATCTTTTATATCATTTGCATCAAAATCCTCATTCATAGATCTTTCAACGTCTACTTCTGTCAAAGCATCCGTTGCAATCTTTATGTGACTATATGTCTATGAGATCATCAGGTGGAATGGGTTGGTCTGGCCAATTTGGCTCTATTTTGCCATCAACAAGTTACCACGTCACTTGTAATAAACAAACTAAGAGATAAATACAACTATAACACCCAATTAAAAATACTGGAAATGCTTCTTAATGAATTCTAAAAACAATGAACAGTTGAAAAAAAACATCAGACATAAAAAAGTTGAGAACAACAGCATGTATTACTCTGAGTGTAAAACATGTCCGTTGTGTTACGCGGTATATGGGTACATTCATGGTTGCACTGTATTTGTGATACGGGTGAATATGCCATACTCACCTGCGGTATATGGCATATTCCGCAGGTGAGTATGCGATATTCCGCAGTGAATATGCCATACATTGATTTCAGTGAATACCGATACTCACTTGCGGAATATGTCATACTCACTTGCGGAATATGCCATACACCACAGGTGAATATGACATATACTGCAGGTGAAAACGTGATACAGAAAGCCTTGATTTGATTGGTTGCGAGAATCGACTCCAAATGTAAAACTACACTGGATTACCAATATAGTTAGTGCGTCGAGTACTAATATATGAATCCTGGGTTGATTGAGTAACTTTATTACGCGAGATTGGTGACTGATACTTCTGCTAAGTTAATATATTCGATACAGTACTGTTGATTCAGTAATCACTATAATAATTTAGAATGATTTACTTGTTCGTTCAATCGATGCAATTGACAATTGCGCACTTCCGTATCACGTTCTCATTGGTTAGTGTGTATGCCATATACCGCAGGTGAATCTGTCATACACCGCAAGTGAATATGCCATATTCGTTGCGGAATATGACATATTTTTGTATAGTGTTTACCGCGTAACACGTTGATGACCAGTGATGGCAATAAAGCGTCCACTGTTGTGATTAATGAGATGTGATAAGTTTTATGAAATGTTTCCATGCTTATTTCTCCCGAAATGATGAACATATTATGTGCTTAATGTCAAAGGTTACATGAGTCTTAGATTTTTACGAAAATGTGTACTCTTTGTTTTTAACAAATGATTTCTGTTACCATAGCAACCAAATTACCAACATTGAGGCACTTGTTATACTGGTAGGACATGTAACGGGATGATTACCCGTAAATATCAAGATGATTGATTGAATATTCTAGGAATTATACATGGCTTTCATAGTACCCCCTTTATGTGCACTTTTTAACAAATTATTTCTGTTACCAGAGCAACCAATTGACCAACATTGATGGCACTTGTCATACTGGTAGGACATGATAAGCAGATGATTACCTGTAAATATCAAGATGATTGATTAAATATTCTGGGAATTATACATAGTACCCCCTTGATGTGCAATTTTTAAGAAATGATTTCTGTTACCATAGCAACCAATTGACCAACATTGATGGCACTTGTCATACTGGTAAGACATGATAAGCAGATGATTACCCATAAATATCAAGATGATTAATTCCAGGAATTATACATAGTATCTCCTTAATGTGTATTTTTTAATAAATTATTTCTGTTACCATAGCTACCAAGTGTTAAATATTAATGAAACTTGTCATAGTGGTAGTGCATTATAAGTAGATGATTACCTGTAAATATCAAGATGAATGGCTGTATATTCTAGGAATTATAGATGGATTTCATTGTACCCCCCTTAAAATCATACCCATGGGGTATAAATCTGTTTACCATAGTAACCAGTTATCCAACACTGATGAAATTTTCCATGATAGTCAAACATAATGATGTGAATAATATCTGTTAATTTCAGGACAAATGGTTACTTATTTTCTTCAAAAAGTTGAACACAAATAAAGAATTCTTTGGAAAAGTGCCACATCCCCTTTCTAAATTTACTTGCATTGCCATATAATCATCAGCAATAGATTCCACTGTGTGGATAAGATAAAACAGCAGTTGATTTAATATTATCAAATATCCTTTGAATAAGTTTTCTAAAATGGTTTCATGGTGATTCCTTCCAATTTCATGAAAATAATATGTGTTTTGTCTCATGGGGTATCTTACATTTTGACGAAAATGTGTACTTTTTAACATATGATCTCCATTTCCATAGCAACCAGTTGATCAACTTTAATGAAACTTGTCATAATGGTAGGACATGATAAGTGCATGATTACCTGGAAAAATCAAGATGATTGACTCTATATTCTAGGAATGATATATGGCTTTCCAAGTACCCCCCTTAAAATTACACCAGGGGGGTATAAATCTGAATATTTCCAAAACACTGAAAAACTAGACACCAATAATTTCAGAATCAATGTATAATAATAAACCACAAATAACCTATATGAAGAGAAATTTGCTACTTTTCAAAACCACTTTTACACCACGCTCATCCAGTATACAGTACTTTGGGAAGATCGCATTGAGGTAGCACACGAACTCAAAAGCGCCAAGTACCATGATCTGGTAAATCGATAGAGGCCAAAAGGTTGGAAAGTTCATTACTATTCCGTCGAAGAAGGTTGAAGAGGATTCCAATCGACATCTCTAAACCGAATGTTCAAGAATGTAGGACTCCCACCCTCATGGCTTAAAAGAGAGCAAACAGAGCAGTTGGATCTGTAACAGAGGAAGCCTCCCAAAAACTAATAATACTATTAGTGATCGGCTTTACATTTAAACGTATTTGATTTTAAAAAATGCTTCAGATTTAAAATCAAGTCCTAAGTTGGGCTTTCTTAGAAAAAAGTGAAGGCAATAACCTCGTCTATAGATTGGCAAAATGGTATTGAGATCATTACATTGCTCGAATTGTCGCATAAGACATGTTAATCATATTCTCGTAAAGTACACATTTAAATTTCTCCCGTCTAGACAGAAAGACTACAACAATAAATCCGGTGTAATATTTTAACTAAAACAATTACAGGCCTCATAGACTTCCATCGACGCGAACATCCGTTCTGTCGTCGCGAACTACGTTCCTTGCACTCGAATCACGATCCTCACACCGCGAACCTAAAATCTTTAGCCGCGCATCACTATTTCCTCGCTACCGAACATATTTCTCTACTCACGTACAGAGATCCGTGCTTGCAAACCACTACATGTAAGTACAAGTGGTTCGCGAGCACAGACCTCTCTGTGCGCGAGTGGACCAGTGTATCGCCAAGTATTCGCGACTTAGGTTCTCTTCCACATTTTTTCATGCTTTGGGGTCCCTAGGATCTGAAGTCAATTTGAATCTAGGTGGTTTGGACACAAAGATGGTGGCCGTAGCACTAACTTCGCATTTCTTAAAATAAAACGACCGCAAAACAGTTTCGTGCAGATTGAACACGACGATGACAATAAAATATTTGAAAAATGAGGTATAAAATGTTTGAAAAATATTTCCATTTATAAATAGCTAGTGGTAAACACATTGCATTGCATAATATTCATTTGGATAGTAAATCAAGTCGTAAAATGCAGCAAAACATTTGATGCGATATAATAGCCTGGACAAATTATAACATATGGTATATAAAACCTTACAGACGAAAGATCACCAGAGGAAATCTAGAATAACTTACAATACCAAAATATGATGAATCGAGTGCTTATTTTGACAGTACTTGTATCTGTCTCCACGGAAGCACAACGATGGGAAAGAACGAAGAGAGAACAACTCTGTAAGTTACCCCATACGTAGTTTTATCCGTTTACAGATAGAGAAGGGAATATTTAACGGTATTTGACTCGCATTTGAATTCATGTATGTTTCACCAATCAGGCTAATACTATCCTAGATGCGAGTAGAAATAATCTTGATTTACGTCATTAAAAATCACAATTCAGTCAAACTGGTGTCATATTTGGAATCTACATATAAAATTACATCTAAAAATGTGGTTTTGAAAAGAGTTTATCATCTTTGAAAATTTAATTTTTTGGGAAAATGTGACTTCAAGGTCGGGGAGATTCCCCATAGACCCCTTGTTGTAAAACTACAAAAAGTGAAATATCTTTTCTTGTGTCGGGCAGATAATATTTTCTTTTACTGGACATATTTTAATTTGTATAACTATCACTTACATTTAAGGTAATATGAAAAGTGAACCACTAAACCTGATGCATATTCAAGTTAAAGGAAAATTGTAATACCCTGCCATGTTATTTCCCCTGGTAACTTCCTACTCGCATCTGAGTAATTGGGCCACGCGAATCTTCTTGTATACCACCCTGGAATAGCCTGACAATGGTAGTCAGATACCGTTGTCACAAATGGCGGACATAACCGTCGCTTCTACTGTTTAATCACTTGGTCCTCATTTAATGGTTTTTTATCGTCGCTAATTTTAAGCATGCATTAAGCTCTTGTGATGATGTTTCATATGAAATCCCAATTTCGATCAAATTGGGCTGTGAATCGCCATAATTTAGCGTCTTTGATATCGTCAATGACAACGGAATCTGAATTTGAGTACAATTAAGAAAGACAACTGCATATGGTAATTACAGTGTCTGTTGTCCCGTATCTCATTTTGATCGGTTAAATTAAAAGCTTTATTTCGATGGTAGAACATTATTAACTGTACAAAGAGTATTAAGACACTTTGATTGATTGTTGTTCCAAAGGAATTTAGTTTGGGTGCTCTATTACATGTATTTAACATTTGAAGCGACGGTTATGCCCGCCATCTGTGACAACGGTATCTGATACCAGATACCGTTGTCAGGCTATTCCCGTGTTTTCGTTATAGAGATGATTAAATATAATGGTCATTTCAGGGCTAAAAAAGTTAAGTAATTTCTCAAAGGAATATGAAGACGCAATTTTGCTACCAGAATGCACAAACTCGATGAAGCCTAACTGCACTGTTGCTGCAAGTTTCTGGGACAAAGATGCCGTAATTGCTGTTGATGGTCTAAACTCCGGTCATGGTAGAGAAGGTAAGTACCATTCTCGGTTTGGAGAATGAAGTTCATCGGCTTATTTCGACGTGAAACGTATTTCAAAGTTATCACTTTCGCCAACAATTTTGATTTTTTAAATAGTGTAGCTTGAAATGTCATCTTTTGAATATTTAACCCTACCCCACCAAACTAGTTCTCACAACGTTCTCGAAAACGGGCTTCTACTGTGTACGAACGGACTGAACCTACTAAGAACCGTTTGGGATCTATTTACAAACTTCATTGAACGTACTCGAACGGGTAGGTCCTCTAGAACTTAGACAATGCTCAAAATGTTCTCGTGGTTGTGACGTTCTACAATTAGAACGAGTGACAACGTACTAACGACGAGCTGGACGTACTACGAACGGAACCGTCGTACTTCAATCCTACTAGGGACGTTTTAACAACGAGTTGAACTGTCTGAGGACGTGTTGAGAACGAGGTAGAACTAATTGCAAACGGGTTTAAACTGATTAAGAACGTATTTAACATTGCTTATGAACGAGTTAGCAAAAACATAGCTATCACACCAAACAAGTTGCCACTGCGTTCTTTCAAAACTGGTTTTAAACTGTGTGCGAACGGAATGAACGTAGCTGCAACTTTCTAAGGTCTATTTACGAACTTTATGAACGTTCTCGGACGGGAATGTGATTTTAGAATTTTGAATCGATTCAAAATTCGATGGCGACCATACCGTTCTGTAATCAGGTCATGTTGACCTTCTAGACTAAGGGACGCGTTCTACGACGTTGCACACCGACGTGGTGCGACCTGAACGAACTGCGAACGAGATGGACGTATTGAAGACTATTTAAGAACGAAGAAGCTAATTATTTCAGACATATTTCCCGACCACAGCCAGATTGAGCCCGTTTTACGACGTTTTCGTAGGACTGGCAAGAACGGGTAAGAACTAGTTTGGTGTGATACGGGGGTAAGATTAAATTATGGTAATATTTTTATTTCTTTCATAAAACAAATATTAGGGAACCCCCCCCCCCGTCGTCAAGAGCCCTTGACGATGGGGTTCATTATGTAATTCAAAATTGTTGGCGACATTGATAACGTTAAAATAAGCCGATGAACTTCATTCTCAAAACTGAGAATGGTCCTTTTTGTGGACAATATTGTATAATGTGAGTCCAAGGGGAAACACACAAAGAACGCAATCTTACTAAATCTTAAATATTTCTTTTGAATTTTAAAGGGCTTATGGCTGTAATTCTCGTCATTTGAAAATCCTTAAACATATGTCCAATTTATAATATTATGTTACCCTGCATAATCGGTCGACTTGGACACATCTCGTTTCCTTTATTGATCACTTCGGAAATGTAGGTAGTAATTTGAAGGCACAATCGGTCGACTTGGACACATCTCATTTCCTTTATTGAACACATCGGATATGTAGGTAGTAATTTGAAGGCACAATCGGTCGACTTTGACACATCTCATTTCCTTTATTGAACACATCGGATATGTAGGTAGTAATTTGAAGGCACAATCGGTCGACTTGGACACATCTCATTTCCTATATTGATCACTTCGGATATATGTAGAAAGTAATTTGAAGGCACAATCGGTCGACTTTGACACATCTCATTTCCTTTATTGAACACATCGGATATGTAGGTAGTAATTTGAAGGCACAATCGGTCGACTTTGACACATCTCATTTCCTTTATTGAACACATCGGATATGTAGGTAGTAATTTGAAGGCACAATCGGTCGACTTGGACACATCTCATTTCCTTTATTGAACACTTCGGATATGTAGGTAGTAATTTGAAGTTTTTCTAGGTGGCGGCAACTGGGTAAAGCATGCATGCCACTACATTTCATTATTAAATTAGTGTCTTCGGCATGCGTATACCACGTGGAATAGGTTAAGACAAATAATAATTTTTGGAAAACAAGCACGAAATGTAGGGACAATTTCAACAATTATAATATACTATAGTAACTTTACATTTAGGCGTCCAAAAAATATTGGAACAAAATCGAGGCCATGGTCCTGATACATATTTCTCCGTTCATTGGTATTACTGTAAAGGGAGTCGTAAAGGTGTTGCATTATATGGAGTTGGTACGGTGTATTCAAATGATAAGAGGGAGATACTCGAAGAGTGGCGGTTAGTAGTTTTTTGTCTTTCATTAGATTTTTGCAAGAGACTTTTTCATCCGTTTTATGCATTTTTCCATATTTGTAAGCATAGCAGTGGTATTTCTGATTATAAAGAGATGGAAAAACGATTTTAATTTTCCCGATTCGTTTTAGTTTTTATGGTTTCTTTATTTTACTTTACAAAATTATCTACAAATGACAGGGCCGAGGCTGAAATCAGCATTATTGGCCCTGTTAATTCAAAGTTTATTCAAATTTACAAAATAGCAACAAAATGACTACCAACATGTATGTATGCATGGCAGGAATGTGTTAAAACTATATAATTATATCAATGCATTCACACAAAAAGGATGTAAAATGCTTCAATATTGAAAAACTGCATGTTATGCTAACTCCATCTCTGCCATACATTAAGATATTTAGCTTTTGCTCTATAGAGCATCCTGTAAAGAAAATGTTCATTTCTGGCATGTTCCTGAGTTCCCCCCAAAGTTTCTCTCTTATAACAATCAACAGAGGGCATTTGAAGATTAGATGCTTTGTAGTTTGTTGTTTAAAACCACAGATGCATTTGGGACTGTCAATACCTTGAAAATTATGTTGAAAAAGATGACCAGTAAAAATGAAATCACATCTTGTTCTATTCAGTAAAATTTCTTCTTTTCTTGTAAGATCCAGGTTTGTGATTGTTAAATGCTTCATTCTCCCTGAATATTTACGCAAACTGGTTTTAAAAGTGACTCTTGATAGTGATTCGATTCGTTTTCGTTTTCAGAGTATTGACTTTTTTCCGGAGTTACAATGACGGAGGATGGAAAATCCAGTATTCATTTGAGCTGAAGGGTGGAGATCCTCATGCGGCAAACATGTAAATGACCAATCCAGAACGTTATAGCAACCTTTAAAAATGAAATTACATTTAAAATGTAAACATCCATTTAGTTTTAAATTACATTTTGAAAAATATTATTTGGGTTCTTTACTAGGTTTGTGTTTGTCATTTTTTTCACTTAAAGCCATATAAGAAGATGTGAAATGCTAATTACTAACTGAGCCGAAAAGTCAGCTCTCAAATCACCATATGGTTACAATTCAACTTAAGGAATCTGCATTGTGTAAGACCTTCACAGACCTACTATATCAAAAGAAGAAAAATGTGCTTCCTACTCAAAGTCTATTTGGATTTCCCATGCATAAGTCATGTGACCAATATCCAGAATGAGGCCTCTGCGAAAAACAGTTGAGGAATTCATACACAGTTTTTGATGATGTCATCCATGTCAGTACACAATCCTAGAAGTAGACGAAATCAAAACATATTTCAGTAATCAACTTCAAAATGATAAATCTCTGATATCCTTCAATATAATATGTTGAAGTTATCCTCGTGTCAAGGTAAAATAGTGAACATGAGATGATATAGTTAAGATTTTACCCAAATCGCTAAATACACTTCTCCCACTGTCCACATACAACTCTGATACCTATGCATATCTCAAACAACACATCTTTTTACGTTTTGTTACACGAACTAGTTGTATATTGTCATTGCCCTCGTGCTTGTGTGCAAGTTGGAGGGCTTGACCAGAAACCATGTCTCCAATACATAAAAAACTGGCTTTTTTAGATATTGTTCAATTAATCCTTTCATCGAAGTTCTGGAGCTATAAAACTTTCAGGAGGCCATATTGCATTTTTAGGAGACCACTTTGGATTTCTTGTATTTGAATTTTTCTTTTAGTTCCAGAACCCATTCATCGGTTTAATCTTTATTCCGCGGTAGTGCTTAAGTCCTATTCTTTTCGACCATCTAGGTTTTCATGGAATAGTACATCGTATTGTCTTTGATATTAATGATATTTTTGATGTCGTGCTTATGTAACTATCAAATATTGATGACATTTCCCTATAAGGGACAATTTAGGATAATTGCTATTTTAAAAATCTGTTGTTGTACTAGAGACTGCGACATATATGTTGATTTCATGGACATGCAATGTGTTATTTTTTGTTGACCAGACTTTAAGCAATCGTTACCACAAGGTACCTGTTTGGAATATTGCTCATCTTTTTTAAAAATATCATTTTAATGATGGATTTTTAGACAATTAGGAAATATTTTTATTCTTTTGGCAAATATAAACTCGGATTTCTTAACCCACAATGTATCGATTGCGTTGATATTTTTAAGCATGTTAATAAAATGTATGAGCTACCAACTCTTGAAAGCGGGATGCTTGATATGTCTTAGTCACATGATTAAGTATCTTTTACTATATGTATACGATTTGGCAAATATTTGTATCCTCAAACACATTGGCCATATTAATATACACTACTATTATATTGATGCATTATTTTGGTGAAAACTATGCCAGAAGGTACATTTTGATAACATATCTTCGATTGCAGACAATGGAGATATATGATTGAGTGTAGGTATTTCTGGCGTGAATTCAAGTTGTCTAGATTAGGCTGTCCAATATTTTGTATCGTCCAAACATTAGAATATCATCTTTGGGAAAAAAATATTTTTAGATTATTATTTTGAGAAATAAAACTACTTATTACCACCTTGCCGGGTCAGTTCTAGGGGTTTTAGTGCTAGTTTAGAAGGCATTATTTTACTATATCGACCTGAGCAATATGTGACGTCATAGTGGTGGTCCATATGGACCGGTCTAGAATATATTCTGGATCGGCATTTTTTCCCCGGGATATTAGATATCGTTCAGTGCGTAAGATTTTCAGCCCTTCGGCCCTCGGTCCAATATTTCACTATATTGCCCTTAGAAATGACGTTATTGTACTATTAATAAAGGTGTTTAGATCATCATTATTTAATTTTTGAATTATTTGGATTGTCTTTGTAAAACTTTATTAAGCATGTGTTGGAGGATACAAACACGCGGTAGTATCTCTTCGGGACGTATCGAAACCACTCCGTCCCGAAAAACCGTTAATTTGAATTTAAAACCTACCCCAGTGTTTGAAAATCAAGGATTGTGAGTCTCACTTTTCACCGTTTTTCTTCAAACTTGTTCCGTACAAAGCTTCACAGAAATACCTTTCAGTCGATACATTGTTTTCGTGTACAAAGTACCTCGTTTTAGCGGGGTTTTGGTCCCCAGCTGCGAGATAAAGCAAATTTTCATAACTTTCAACTGTAAGTCAAGTTATCTCGCCAGTCTTTTACCCATTCTCGCTCATAATTTCAGAATGGACTCCCATTACAACCTTCCATCGCTACGTTTTGATTTTTGGGCATCAAACGCAGCAGTTTCTAAATCATCCACACATCTCTTAAAATTTGACTAATACGTCCCGTCACCTTCCACTACGCCCCGCCTAGTCTATGACTACAAACGTGGAGTTGTATTCTAAAACATTTTGTTCATCGTTGTGTAATTTTACATAGGTTTGCCTTGGTCGATTCTTAACACTAGTCTTAAGTTTAGCATACATACGGAGTATAACTATAACTGATTGCAGGATATTGATAATTTAAATGTTTGTGAAGATGTTGCTTTTTAACTTTAATTATATGTAATTGTCCTGTATTTGATTTTGTGAGGAAACCAAGTGTCTGGTTTGAAACACGATAAAATCTGGAATCTTGTTTTGCTAATGTTCAACATAAATAATTTATAAATTATCGGCCGAGGGCAGATTAGAGCGGATCAATCAATGATGTACAAAAAGTAACATGTAAAAGAAAAAACGCTATACTATTGTGATGACTATTGCTCTCGACAGAAAGCTTCAATTTTCATTGCATCATATTTATTTATTGACCTGTATTTAAACAGAGTGGTTTTAAACATATGCAGTTACTACTTAAATGATAATAACACTATTTGCTTAATTCTATGAAGAATGTTTTTATAGTTTTTAATATTCTATCGTCCAGCGTATTCTCTCCGAATTATTGATCTGGCTATGAATTTTATGCATTAAACATAAACATGTAATACGTATCAGAATGATACTATACAATATTATATCACAAAGAACATTTTGTCATGACTATACATATTTTCTAAGTTCATCATCATGCCACAGTGTTAATAATGTACTGTATGACATCCAAGGCAAAGTACTAACAAAGCCGGTGTGAAAGAAATTATGGTCCCCTGGGGATTATGGTCCCCTTTCCTAATGGCCCTTTCTGGCCCTGATTGTGTATAAATAATAAGGAAAATAATTGTAATCAGGTCAACATATAAATCAATAGAGACTAGGACCATAATTTGATAGGACCACCTACGCTTTTACATGTAAAAGGGTAGGTGGTCCTCTCAAATTATGGTCCTAGTCTCTATTGATTTATATGGTGACCTAATTACAACTATTTTCCTTATTATTTATACACAATCAGGGCCAGTAAAGGCCGTTGGGAAAGGGGACCATAATCCCCAGAGGACCATAATTTCTTTCACACCAGTGTAAAAGCGTAGGTGGTCCTATCAAATTATGGTCCTACTCTCTATTGATTTATATGGTGACCTAATTACAAATATTTTCCTTATTATTTATACACAATCGGGGCCAGTAAGGGCCGTTAAGAAAGGGGACCATAATCCCCAGGGGACCATAATTTCTTTTACACCGGTACATTTCACTGATTCAATTTTCACTGATTGCACTGGACGAAATTAGTTGAACTCTTCAATGGGAAGGTAGCATACTTCATTTTACCGCCATTATGAGGAAGCAGAGACATTTTATATGTCTCTGAGTTAATGGTAAGAACAAACGCTTCACACGGGTGATTAAACATTAGCATGGCAGTTGTTGTCACCAATCAGTGTAGGTGATCAAAGTAACTCGATCACATAGGCTTCGATTCGCATGTCAATATTTTATTCGTGGTTTACATTATACGTTTAAAGTATGTCAAATCTCAACCTGCACACGTGTATCCTCTGAATTAACATGATGTAAGATTCCACGCCCGTAGCCAGGATTTGCCAAGGGGGTTCACAAATATTGAAGAAATTACTGGGTGGGGGTTCACTTTTGACATTTTTTGCCCGAAATGGGCTTAGAATGGTGAAAAACTGCATAATTTTGAAAGTACTTTTAGTAGGGAGGGGGGGGGGGGGTCCGAGCGCGGGCCTGGATTCCTCGCAAAAGTACAGGGTGACCGGGAAAAAGGAGACTGTAGAAATAGGAAATATCTCCTAAACTAGATAACTGACATCAATGAGATTTTGCACAAACCAGAACTGTTCTATGGAGATTTGTTCCTGAAAGTTTCAATACAAACAGGTAACTGGTTCAGGAGCTGTGATCATTTACAATACATGCCCCATTTAGCCGCAATTGAGACCCAGGCAGAGCTGGATTAATATGGCAAAATACCCTTACACATTCAGCCCTGAAAACAAGACAAGAATGGGTAAATCTTAAAACACAATCCGATTTGTATTTAGAATCGACAATGGCAACCTACAAAAACGGACACATCGATGGACAAATTGTTTTAGAATGCAACTCTACGTGTATAGTGATAGACTCGGCGGGGCGTAGTGGAAGATGACGGGACGTATTGGTCAAATTTGAAGAGATGTGTGGATGATTTAGAAACTGCGGCGTTTGATGCCCAAAAATCAAGACGTAGCGATGGAAGGTTGTAATGGGAGTCCATTCTGAATTATGGGCGAGAATGGGTAAAAGACTGGCGAGATAGCTTGACTTACAGTTGAAAGTTATGAAAATTTGTTCTATGTAAGTTCATCTCTCTGGTTAATATATCAGAAACAAGTCAAATTCTTTACTTCAGAGAATATTTTTAATGTATCTCATACTTGAGTGGGTTTGGGGTAGATATCACCCGGGAATATATATCGTATCTGAGGACCGGGCAGGATATATTGTATATGTCCCGCTCCAGGCCAAATGCGGGCAGATATAATATATCTATCCCGCTCCCGGGAATTTTTCAAAAGTTTAAAAAAGTTTAAATACCAAAAGTTTTACTTTTTTAATTTTAAAATTTAAATTTTTTAAGTTTAAATGTTACAATTTCATTGTATTGAACAAAAAGAATATTACGAAAATGTTCAATATAAATATCTTGTCATTTGAAAAAGGTGGAAAAGGTTATATCTACCCTAAACCCACTCAAGTATGAGATACACCAGTTATGCACGGTCGGTTTGGATACATGGAATATCCCTTGGGATATACAATACATCTTCCCTCGGTCCCTTCGATCCCTCGGGAAGATATATTGTATATCCCTCGGGATATTCCCTGAATCCAAAACCTCCCAGTGCATAACCCCTATATATTGAGACTTTCGACTAATATCCCTTAGTCTTTTTCAAAATATAACAGCATGTATACATTTATGTGACGTCATAAACAGACAATGGAAAATTTAAT